CTTTTTTCTTTTTGCTTATGTGGTGCTGAGGAATCGAACCCAGGGCCTCAGGCATGCAAGGCAAGCGCTCTACCACTGAGCCACCTTCCCAGCCCCAGCATTTAGTTTCTTAAAAAGGAGAATAAAGGAGCCATTGCAGGCACTCCTGGGACAGAGGCCACCTCGCGTCTCACAGGCCCTAGTGCAGCAGCTTTGAGCTCTCCTCGTCCAGCAGGCTCACATACCAGGAGATCTTCTCTCCTGGGAGTAGGAGTGGCCAGGGGTAAGGGAGGCCTTAGTCCTAGGGAATCCCAAAGTGACCTGACTTACGCCATTCCTGGCCTCTCCAGAATTATATTGCTAATTACATCCTAATCGTAACCCTCACTTCTGATTTCTTCTTGATCTGACTAGAAGTAAGAGAAACTGCTTTCTGCCTTTCCTGTTGTCAATATGAAGCCAATGTTACCAGGGTGCGCCATGACTGACCCCAACAGCATTCTCTGCACCTCTGCTGCTGCTCAGCATCGGGCAGCCTTACGCCCCGGGTTCTGCCTCACAGAGATCCTCCCAGGACTGTGATCTGAGGCCTTTCTTGGGTCATTCACAGGAACTCTCCCTGAGGAAGGAGGAACACTGAGATGGCCAAGCCTCCAGAGCTGGGGCTGGGCCTGGTGGGAAGGTGCTGGGTGGAGCAGTCCGCTAGACCTCCAGTCTGTACTCTGTGTGCCCCGCCTGAGCTCTTGGAGCCGCAGTCTCCTGTCTGGCTGAGGGAAAGAGATGGTTGTTGGGATAAGGGAGGAGCAGGGTGCAGGAGCCCTGAACTCAGAACCCTCCCATGATACTCCCACACTGTTTCCATTTGCCCCATGCAAGCCGTGCTAGGTCCAGCCCAGGATGCAGCTGGTAGTCCCTGTGTGGCTTGTCAACAGTCCACAGACAAGAAGGTCCACTCCAAAGGGGCCGGCCCAGCCGACCTGCCATCTGGAGTCAGGGAGGGAGGAGACAGATGGCCCACCCACCGCACCAGGTGGTTTTGGGTCCCGACTGGCCAACGACAAAAAGCAGAAAAGAGGACACTCTTCCACAAGGGGAGGGAGTGTAGGAGAGAGCAGAGAGCCTGGCCTTACAGGGGAGATTACAGGCAGCAGATTCCCTCCCGGGAGCCCAAGCTCTCCCAGCTTCTGCTTCTCCTCTTTCCTAAGAAGACAAGGCTTCCCTCCCTGGCTAGGGCTGAGGTCATGCTCCCCCTGGCAGGAACTCAGACCATGTCTCTGCAAGAGCAGCTCAGCTGACCTCAGGCCCCTGTGCCTGGGAAGCAGCCAGTCTCACCCTGTGCGGGAGAGCACAGCAGCCCCACAGTGCTGAGCTAGCTGAGCACAGCTGGTCCCAGGCAGGGCGCCTCCCTCCGGCCCTCTACTGGCCCCTCGCCCTGAGGTTACTCCTGGCTAGAGCTACTCCACATGTGTTCTTCCTATTTCCCCAGGAAAAGAAAGTCACCAGACACGCGCGCGCGCGCGCACACACACACACACACACACACACACACACACACACACACACACAAAACCCACCCAGAGAGATTCAACTCATGTCTGCCTACCTCCCAGCTGTGAACTGAGTGGCAGTCAGAGAGGTACCTAAACAATGACATACTCAGAAGCCACTGGACGGTGGCACCTGTGTTCTCAGTGACTACAGATATTATTGAGCACCTATGAGGCACTAGGCCCAGGTTTCAGGCTTTTGGCAACAAGTGAAAGCAAATGCTCTGCTTTCACGAAACTCCCAGCCTAGCGTGGGGGAGTCATTCAATTCTCAAGACCAACAGGTCAACTGGTAAATCAGTGTTAAGAGCCTATGAGAGAGAACAGATGAAAGAGACAGAAGGTATATATGGAGGAGGTAGATGGTAAGGCAGTGGGTGGAGGGAACAAGATTCAATTTTGGACCAGAGAGGGAAGGAAAAAAAAGGAAGGAAGGAGACAGTTCTGTTAAGGGGAGAGTGTGCTGGGCTGTAGAAGAAATGCAAAAGCCCTGCAGCAGTGTGCTTGAACAGAGGGAGCAGGAAGAACAGCAAGAGGCCATGGGAGACAAGGTACATGAGTCTCGGAGCTTCCTAGCGATGGCTTTCATGTTTATTTGGCACAAGGTAAGAAGCTACTGGAAGGAGGGCTGGGAAGGTGGCTCAGTGGTAGAGTGCTTGCCTTGCATGCATGAGGCCCTGAGTTCGATTCCTCAGCACCACATCAGCAGAAAAAGCTGGAAGTGGCGCTGTGGCTCAAGTGGTAGAGTGCTAGCCTTGAGTTGAAGAACTGAAGCACAGAACCCAGGCCCAAAGTTCAGCCCCCACAACCCACCAAAAAAAAAAAAAAACAAAAGAAGAAGTAGTGGAAGGTTCTGAGCGAGTAGACAGATCTCGCTGTATTTCCCTCTGGCTTCTGGGGGAAGCAAAAGCAGGGAACCCATTGCCATTTCTATGTGCAAGCCAGCAGGATGGAGGCAGTGGAGGTGGTGAGAAGAGACCACATAGCAGATAAACACTGAACACAAAATGGAAAGGAAGTAGCGGTGGCAGAAGACCTGGCTGGCCACGTCAGCTCCCCTTGTTAATGACCAAAGTTGCCATCAATCAGACACCTTGGTGCCTGCTCTCTACTGGGCACCTGCTCTCCACTCAGCCCCTGCAATGCTGAGAGGGAGGATACATACAGGGAGGATCCACAGAGACCAGGGTCCAGATTCCAACCTGGAAGAAGAGGCCTGTACACAAGCCAGGAGGTAGGGTTGCTGGGCAAGGAGGGACCAGAGGGAGTGCCCTGTTCTGGTCTCCAATACACATTTGTAAAGTGAGGAGCATGCACGAATGGTTTCTGAGCCACTTTTATGCATCCGAGACCACATCTAGTGGTCCTGCTCTGTGAGTTCTGCCCTGACATGCTCCAGCCAGCCAGACTTCTCAGATGCACTGGATTTTACTGGGCTTCGGCTATGACTTAGTGCTAATGAGGTCTTGAAGGGTCACTAAATGCAAATCATTCCAGGCAGAGAAAGGCAAAGCCAGCTCAGAGTCATGCTGGTTCCTGAACTCCTCCAGCCCTCTCCCAGCAGGCCGAGGTACTAGGTGTAGGTGTGTGGAATGTAAAGGCCTTGGTGGCTTTCCCAAGCTCTTACCAGGGTCAGACCTCAGCAGTCTATCAGTGTGGTCCTCACTAACACGAGACCAAGAAAGGCAGCCCCTGGAGGGGCCGCGTGTGGCTTCTCCTAAGTGGCCATGAAGAGTGCCTTGTGAGGCTGGAAAACAGACCCTGGGCTAGCCCAGTGATAACCAGGGAAGGTGCAGACTCCTGCAGGTAAGCCCATCTGGCAAGTCCTAAGAGTGTGGCCAAGGCAGCCGCTGCTCCCTGCAGGGAAGGCTCACTTTGGTTAGCTGGGGTTGGGAAGAGGGCTGGGTTGGAGGTGGTTTTGCTCATGGTACAAAACATAGCTGCCTCCCTGCCCCATCCTCACCACGACTCGATCGGAGGGTGGCCCCAGGGTAGTGGCCACCATGGCCCGCCACCTGCCAGCAGGCTGCGCCTTCCTTCTCCCTCATCTCTCACTCTTCACATTCTAACTACCGCAACTCTCACCTCTCTCTGCACTTCTCTTTGGAGGCTATCTTTGCTATCTTGGCCCTCACTCCAGCCTTACCCACTTGTGGAAACTGCCGCCCCTTGCTGGGTGGAGGCAAAAGGAATGTGGAGCAGAGCCCAGCAGGGCAGCTGAAGCACACTTGGCATTATCTAGCACGCAGCCGCCTTTCTCCCCGGCTCTCCTGAGCAGCTCACTGCTTCCTCTTGTGAGTAAATGTCCAGGGCACATGCTCCCATGCACCATGACCCAGACTGGATCATCTCCCAGAGCTCCACTCTTGGGCACTCTGATCTCAAGGTGGATGCCCTGTCCACAGCCCACCTGTACACCAGGCCTCGAAGAAGGTCAAAGGGATGAAGGCTGCTAGGGGCTCACCAGTTCAGGGCTGAAGGTCCTACATGCTATGGAGTCGGCTCCCTGGTTGGCGAGGCTTCTCCTTAGGATCATCACCATGGTAAGGACCTCAGGCACTGGGCTGCATACCAGGGTAGGCACAAGCCATCTTCAGGAGGGCAGCCCTGGGCCGTGGTGACACCTGGGCACCCCCAGGGAATGTTGTCAGTAGAAACAGCTCCCCATCAGTCACTCACTCTCAGGATGAGGCTCTTCTGGGAAATGGCCAAGTGTGGTCAACTACCTGGTAAGACAAAAGACAGGCAACAAGTTCAGAACCAGGGAAGAAGAGAGTGGAACCGGGGACCCACTGGGAACTAAAGGAGGTGCATTCTGGGAGGCCACCAAGTCTCAGATAACCCTCTAAGAGCAACCCCTCCCTCCCAGCCTCGGAGCACCCCAAAACCAACGGGTACAACAGTACACGGGGGTCCACTCATGTGACCCCCTGAAAGGTCTTGAGTTTGGGTAGCTAGCAATCTAGCATGCTCAAGATGTGTGACATCTTACCACCAACCTAACTTTCAGTGTACTTTGAACACACACCGGGGCAAGTTCACATAGGCTGAGGGTAAAAACACACCTCACCCCATCCCATGTCCAAACCCGAATGGTCAGCCCTCCACAGCCACTGGCAGCTGACAGGGGCCCAGTCAGGACACACGCAGGTTCTCCTTCTCCACACAGGAACAAAAGTGAGTAGAGGCCCCGAAAGGCAAATAAAGTTTTCTACCATCCTTACATCCTTAGCTCATGTAATAAAGGTGTTTATTGTTTTATAAAAAAAAAAGTGACTGGAAGCTGGGCACCAGAGGCTCCACCTGTAAATGCTAGTCATTCACAAGGCTAAGCTGTAGAAGGTGACCAGGACAGAGGTCTGTGAGGTTTTCTCTCTATTGTAATCAGCAGAAAGCTGGGCTGGAGGCATGGCTCAAGTGATAAGGCAAATAGACCAAGCAAGCACAGGCTGAGTTCACTCCTCAGTAATGGGAGGCAGAGGGGAAAAGGCAACTGAAGAATCAGAGATGTCTACCTAGAGGCACACATTATGGCCGTGCCACATTTGACATCAACTATTTTCAACACTGGAGGTCTCTTCCCCAGTAACCTTCTAGCAGTGACTGGACCCTCAGCATTGCTGCTCTGCACAGCTGCTCAACAGTCCGCCTGACCAACCACCATTTCCCACTAAGCAGAGGCAAAAAAGGGATCAGGCTTCAGCAGAGGTTTAAAAGATCATGCCTTATAATTACTCCGATACTCCATCCCTCTTCTCCCCACCCTTCTGTGGTTAAACCTCCAAATGCACATAATACAAGGGATCCAAAGAATACCACCAGAAAACAAAAATCATACCAGTAATGGCAATAAACAAATAGAAAGGTAGCCCCTAATCTGAAATTAAAAACAAACAGTTCAGCGTCGGAAAATGCTTTAGAATCTTCTGTTCTGTGTAAAAATTAATTACACCCTGGTATTTACTTGCCATCCAGATTGTAAATCATATTTTCCTGTTTACTTCGATTAGACTTTACAGTGGGTGTTATTGAAATTGCTCAATTACAGGCCAGCTGGCAAGCACGAGAAAATTACCTTCTACTGTTCTTCGAAAACAAGGTTCATCCAAAGTGCAAACTCAGGGAAGGGGAGGAGGGAAATCAATCCATTTCCAAAGCCTGACTGTTGGGGAAGGGAGGCACGGGGGGGGGGGGGCAGAGTCCCCGGCAACACCAAGACACCAACACCTGACAGGTCTTAACAGCTCATCAACCTACAACCGGCACATGCTAACTAAGTGTGGTCAACTCAGTCCACTCCTCCAGGGACTGGACAAGTAGCAGGCCCTGGTCAGGGGCAGGCCAGGAGGGGAGCTTGGACTCAGCCCTCAAAGGGGCCCTTCCTTTGTGCCATCTGAGCAAGGGAAGCATAGAAGCCATGGTCTTTCTGGGTGTAAGCCTCAACTCAGTTCTGGGGCAGCCAGCCACTGGCACCATGTCTGAGAAGTCACGCCTCCTCCCCTCCCTTCTCAAGGAGGCAGACAGGTTCCCAAGTTTCAAGCTCAGATCTACAGTCAAGCACACCTGAGTTCCTCTTGAAATACACTGTCCCCTCAAACGTTGCCAAGTGCTTTATCTCTGTGCCTCAGCTCCTCTCAGTAAACAGAGCCGATACTGCCTGCCTCATCAGGTGGTAGTAGCCTAGGAAGCAGAAACCACACCTTCTGCTTGGTGCCTCTCCTCTGAGAAGTGCTGTCAACAGTGGCTACTGCTGTTGGGGGGGGGGGGGAAGCCCAGATCCTTTCCTCAGCAATGGACACCAGGCAGTCTTCCTCTCAAATTTGTTTAAATTCCATCAAAAAGGTCTGGCTGTAGGATGGCCCTTCCCTCTGGTGAAACAGTAGGAGGCCGCTAAGAGCGATGCTGTGGAAGTCTATTGCCACGGAAACACATCAGCCCCTCCAGTCACAGCGCTGCACAAAGCACAAAGCCGGAAGCCGGGCTGAAGGAGTGATGGGGCCTCCTGGCTCACACCAGCTCCATCTCCACAGCAGCCTCTACAAAGGGCTGCCGAGGCGGCATGAGGGGTAACAGACATGCACAACAGCACCCTGAGCTCCTGGAAGCCAGCGGTGATCACCGGCCCCAGAGGAAGGGGGAGGTGTGGCACCCAGCAGTCGTGCTCTCTCGGGGAACTGGCAAAAAGGCTGTGAAGTAGGCACTACTCACACTGAAGGCAGAGGAAGCGGGTGCTGGAGGCACAGGGGCCCAAGGCGTATGGCACGGCCGCTAGAGTGGGGACAACCTGGGTAGTTAAACGACAGAGGGAACTGCGTGTGGACTTTTAAAAAAATCCCAACTTGACAGCGGGGAACAGCATTCACTGGGAGGTGGCTGCACGGAGGACGTGGGGCAACAGAACAGACACTGGAGTTCTGAGGCCGCTTCAATCAACTTTTTCTGCACCTTTACACCACCAAGCACAGTGCCTTGCACAGAATAAGCACCCAATACACAAGTCTGGAACTGGGTAAATCACAGCCACATCTGAATCCCCACACATTCTCAAACCAGCAGAGCCTGAATTTCCCTGGGATCCACGGCAGAGGTCTGGACCAGCTTCACTGAGGAGTGCAGGTACCCACCCAGCGACACAGATAAATCTAATGACCAGGCCAGCATCTTCTCAGAGAGGAACTAGGTGTGGTCCTGAAAGGGCCAGTAACTGGGGGGAACCCAAAGGACACTGGTTGGGTACAGACCCTGCCTTGCCTACTGGGTTCTCTCTGCGCCTACAGGAAAAGGATGGCTTCTATCACTGAGCACTGCTGTGGTTTGGGTGTGGCTTGTCTCCCAAGGGTTCCAGTGTGGGAAGCCTGGTCCCCAGTGAGGGCTGTTCACAGGTGGTAGGGCCCTGACAGTGTGGGGTTAGGTGGGGGGAATGAGACCTCACAGGGTACTGCTCTCTGTCTCACAAGCCTGGCCAACACACCCAACCACTCCAGCTTTCTGTCCCACCGTGTGCTCATCTGCTGTGTGGCCTTCTCCAGAGCTTGCCTGTTGCTGGCACCATGTCCTCAAAGTCCAGAACCAGAAGCTAAATAAACCTCTCTTCTTTATAAAATCACCCAGCCTGTTGTTCTGTTATAGTAGTAGAAAATCAACTCAGCAGCTAAGGCAGGTCTGACAGTTCTCATTTTATAGCCATATGCACAGCAATTCACCAGAGTCTAGGATCTTCTAGGTCTTGAACCCTGGTGAGACAGGCCCCAGGCCTGTGCTTCCCATCAGTGCCCACTTCTCCATCCCAAATGCACCCTCAAACACCCACTCGGACAACGACGACGTGGTCCAGCCTTCACATTCCTGAGCATTTATCCCAGAGAAATGAACACGTACGTAGGTTCACACAAAAGACCTTCACACAATTGCTTTATCTGTAACAACCCAAACCAGGAAAACCCAGATGTTCTTCACTGAGTGAATGAATGGTTAAATGCACCCTGGCTCCTGTTCTAAAGAACACTGCTCAGCCATAAAAGGAATGAACTCTAATATACACCAGGACTCGGGGGGAAAAAATCTCCAAACAATTCTGCTGAGTAGAAAAGAAACCAACTCAAAGGCGAACGGTTGTACGATTCTGTGTTCATTGTATTCTTGAAATGACAGAATAACAGAATTGGAGAACAGAGGTTGTCCGGGTTTGGGATGGGGTGTGGTTAGAATGGTCTGAAGCTTGACTGTTCCCCTGTTTGTTCATTTCCTGCTTCTGATGTCGTCACTACAGTTGTAAAACATAATACCCCAGATTTCTCTGTACTATTTCTCACAGCTACATGAATGTAAAGTGGTCTCAACGTTAAAAAAAAATTAAATAAGACCCATTTGATGTGTGCATTTGTCAAAACCCATAGAACTAAATAACCAAAAGAGTAAATGGCACTGGAGACAAAAGAAAATGTAACAAAACAAAAAATCAAATTCCTGCCACCTGCACTGGGAAGACAGCATGGAAAAGGAGCAGAGGCTGTGGGGTTTGGCAGCCATGGCCTTCACTGAAGTTATCTGCTTTGGTGTCCTCATCTGTCAAGTAGGAACAGTAACATTTTTGCCCTGGGCACTGTGATTGTAATGTAAGAAAATGAAAGAGTTGGGGCTGGGAAGGTGGCTCAGTGGTAGAGTGCTTGCCTTGTATGCATGAGGCCCTGGGTTTGATTCCTCAGCATCACAAAAGCAGAAAAAACCAGAAGTGGCGCTGTAGCTCAAATGGTAGAACGCTAATCTTGAGCTGAAGAGCTGAGGAACAGCACCCAGGTCCACCACCGACAGAGAGAGAGAGAGAGAGAGAGAGCAAGAGGGGGGGAGAAGAAAGAAAAAGAAAGAAAGAAGGAAAGAAAGAAAGAAAGAAAGAAAGAAAGAAAGAAAGAAAGAAAGAAAGAAAGGAAGGAAGGAAGGAAGGAAGGAAGGAAGGAAGGAAGGAAGAAAGCTTGCCACAGGGAAGCCAGGGAAGGACACAGATGTTGGTGGCTTCCGGTCCCCTCTGCATGAAGTACAATTGTGGGCAGCAAGCCTTGCCTTTGGACATGGTCCCAGCATCGCCAGTGCAGTTCCTTACTCTGGACTCAAATCCTCCATTGGCAATGCCCAGCACACTCACCTCTGCTGTGACTCCCTGGGCAGTGTTGATAAAGGCCTCCACTAGGACTCCAGACACCACCTGGCACCACCTGGCTACCCAGCATCT